GTCGAAGGTCTCCCTATTCATCGGACCCTTTGCTGAATTGGCGAGCGAAATCACAGGGCGGAATCTCACGGCACATCGCTGCATAAACATAATGCAAACCGAAATAATGTACCTGAGCAGTGCACGAATCCTGCGGCCGGAGAGAAGGTGAGGGGAGTCAATCACACAAAGCGCCCGCCCGGCCAAAGGGCGAGTCACATACATACATGACGAGGAGGCAAGCAGCAGCCCGAGGGCGAGGGGCAGCAGGGGGCAGCAGGGGCAGCAGGGGCAGCAGGGGCAGCAGCAGAGCACGTACCTGGCGCGACGAGCGCACGTGAAGCGGACGACCGCCATGAGGACGTGCCGAGGCGCGCCGAGAGCGAGCGTGCAGGAGAGCGGCGCGGGAGCTCCTCCAAGGAAGCTCTCACCTCCAGGCCCAGGAGGGAGGAAATGTTGACTGCAGGATGGGAATCGACCAAGGGGGTCAGCGTGCGCCCCGGCAATCGGCCTCGATCGATGGCACGGCTGACTGCAGTGCCCGCTCGCCCGGCCGTCGCGTGCTCCTCGGGCCTGCAGAGGGCCCTCAGCCGCTCATTACGGCGCTGCCCGCACCCGCACGACGCACATGACAGCGACACATTCGCCGCAAGATGGAGCGCCGCGATAAATCTAGGCCTACGACGCCCCCTCCGCCGCCCCGCCCCGGAAGCGCTCCCGGCAAGCAAGCAAGCGGCCGCGCAGGCGCCGCGGGACGCCTTCTGCCCACCCGCGGACGCCCCCTCCCGCGCGCCTCCCGCCCCGCGCTCGAAACGCTCCTGGGGTACAGATGACCCACGGCCAACGCGAAGGCACACGAGGGCACTTCGGCAAGGAAGGGGAGCTCGAGGCGGCCCGCGAGGCCGAGGAGGCGTGCGTCGTGGGGGCGCCTTGGGCTCGCGTCCCGCCCACTACCCTCGTGGGTCGCGCGGTGACCTACGTCCCAGTCTGCCTCGCGTGGGCATCGCCGCCCCACCGCCCGCTCCCGGCCCACGCTCTTCTTGTAAGTTTCCGTGTATATCTCTTTTCGTTGTGATTATACATATATATTTTTTTCCTCGTGCGTTTTAAAACATTTCGCTGCTTTGCCTGCACGAATGTTCCGCACGGACACAGACACGTATGGATCGTCTTGGAAAACCGTGATTTACTGAAGAATTCTTTCTATCGTGTCCCGACGGACTTGCTTCCCCGACAACACTAACGGCGCAGTTGGCACGCGCCTGTACTACGAACGACCGTATTATCTTCCTTTCTCTCTCTCTCTGTCTCTCTATCTCTCCTCAGCCTTTCACTTCCCTATTCCAGGCGGCTCCTTGCCATTCCTTCCACGTCCTCCTCTGCCTGCCTCTTCCCCTTCCTCCTCCTCCTCCTCCTCCGCGTATCTTTTATCTCTTATCCGTCCTTATCGGCAGCGCTCTCTCCTGAGGACATGATGGTCCCCTCGCTCGCCCGACGACACTGCGCAACGCCCTCGCTTGGGGACCCTCTTTTTCCCCTTCTTAGGATGGCGTGTTGAGGGAACTCTGCCTTACGTAAGAAAGCTGTTGGGAGGGGAGAGGGAGGAGAGGGGAGGGGAGGGAAGGGGAGAGGGGAGGGGGGAGAGGAAAGGGGGGGAGGGGAGAGGGGAGAGGGGGAGGGGAGAGAAAGGGAGGGGAGGAGGGGGAGGGAGGGGAGAGAAAGGGGGGGGGAGAGGAAGGGGAGGGGGAGGGAGAGGGAGAGAAAGGGGAGGGGAGGGAGAAGGGAAGGGGGAGGAGGATAGAAAAGGGCAGGGGGAGGAGGCGAAATAGGGGGGAGGGAAAGTAAGGAAAGGGGAATGGGGAAGGGAGGAGGGAGGAAGAAGAGGAGAAAGGAAGGGGTAAAGGGGAGGAGAGGAGAGGGGACGGGAAAAGGGCGTGGCCAAGGATGTTGATGAAGTTGGGTGGGTGGGAGGGGGGTGATCCTACAGATGGTGCGGGGGGGGGAGGGGAGAGGTAAGCATAGCACCGCGTCCTTGACCTCTCAGAAGGCTGGGGAATAGAAAGAGGGGGGGGGGAGGGGAGGAACAACCTTGAGGAAAGAGCGAGAAAGAGGCCGGGGAAGGGGTGGAGCAGGAGGGAGGGGAGGGATAGGAGGAGGGGGAGGGGAGGGGGATGGAGGAGGGGAGGGGGAGGGGGAGGGATAGGAGGAGGAGGAGGAGAGGAGGAGGAGGAAGGAAGGGGGGGATGGCTGGGGAAGAGGAGGAGAGAGCAGCAGGAGGGGAGGAGAAGGGGCGGGGAATGGGGGGGATAGGGGAAGGACAGAGAGCAGGGGTAGGAGAGTGGACCATCGGAGGGGAGGGGGAGAGAGGGGAGGAGGGGGAGGGGAGAGGGAAGGGAAGGAAGAGGAAGGAAGAGGGAAGGAGAGGGGAAGGAGAGGGAAGGATGGGGGGGGGGGAGATTAGCAGCACAGCAGTCCTGAGCCATTAATTTGTGAGGTGGAGATGAGGGCTGAGATCCTCCCG